GGTGAATGGATTGAAAACAAAAAAAAGAATTCACCTAACTGAATAGAAACAACTGCTTCTAATACAGCGAATAATTACTTCATATAGTTTCGTTAAATTTGTATGCCCTCATGTTCAGTACCCAGTGTTCTATGTTCTTTAGTATATTTATATCAAAGAATTGAATTTATTTATGTGTATTTGCGCATTGTTAAACAGACTAATACGATGTTTATAAGCTTGCGCAAAAATTTATTGATAAACTTGTCATTGCTGTTTTGATTATTGCTTTAAGTGTATACGAAAATCTAATTGAAGTATCAGTCACATTGAAAGGCTGATTACTAATGTGTTTGTATCTGTGTGTTCAACAAAAAGAAAACACAGGGGTGGAATCAAACAATATGGATAAAAGTTAATGAGACGAAATAAATTAAAATTGCACAAAAACAATCTGAAGAAAAATTCGAATCAAAAATTAATACACGCGCCTGACGCTATTTCATCAATGTTACTTCACATACACACACGCACACACATTCTCTCTCTGTTTCTGTGTTTTCAGTCCTTTTCATGAAATTTCACTAGTTGTTCTGATCTATTATTGCTGTTTATGTTATGCACGACCTTCTTTAGAATTGTAACTTTTTTAGTATATGTGTCTTTATAGATTATTGAATTCCACTGTTTGCATCACGAACTCAGAGGTCTAAAAGTTAAGCGATAGCCTCAAGAACTAATAGTCATGAGTAGAACCCCCAGTAGGTTCGTGGACGAGTATTAGGGAAGAGCCCAGAACCAAGTCGAATCAACTGTACAGTGCTCCCTATTTCCTAATTGTTGTCTAAGGTCAGTATGTAATGTAAACTATGTAATATTTTTGTTATTCTACGTCGAGTATTCAATCGCTAGATAGTTATAGATTATTGCTGTCCGTCCGTACTAATTTTACATAAATAAAGTAGTATCTTTAGTTTTCTTCTCTTCTGAATCAACTATGAAATAACGACAACAGTAATGGCAAAACTGCTGAGAAATTCATCAGTTAAGTTTAATATCATCAGCACATTTATACTATATTTTATAATACAGTTAAGTTTTTCTAGCTATTTTTCATTGAGATAGTGTAATAAAAAGACGAAGATTATTAGAACTATATGATGTGTGATCAGATTGTTCGAAATGTATTACGCTAACATATCATATAGTTCTGATAATCTTCCTCTTCTTATTTTTCATTGACCATTAAAAATTTCTTAGTTAACTTTAATTGCATCGAAGTAATTTTGTTAGAAAGAATGAATAAATCAATGACAAAAAATATCAAGGTAATCAACAGAGAGTCTACCTACTCCATAATCATTCAAATAACCAGGAAAAATGGTTTAAATTAGATGGCATTATGATGGTTTAGAATTTCTTTAGAAAGACAAATAATTTTATATCGGTGGATTACTTTATTTGGATAGTCATTGAAATAATTTCAATATTGTACAAAGTAATTACTAATCAAATTAAGTGATGATTTTTTTATTAAAATATTGGTTAACTTGGGAGAAAGCATGAGTTGTTAAATTATCCATGTATAGTTAGATAATGGACATGATGTCATATTTATTGAATGATTAGAAACTATAATCCCATCTATATATAGATCAAGGTGTTCAATAGCTGATAACAGTTGTCAGGATATTCATGCTCAGGATAAAACCTATCTCTATCACTTATTACATCTTGAAGTCAATTAATATTGTTTTTCGAAAATATGCAAATGATTATCAACACCATCACCAATTTGAAATATGTATAGTTCAGTGTTTTTTTGTAATGCTTCATCAGGTTCTTTGTTTGTTATCAAAAACAACTATCGATTACGTAACTTTATATTTTTCACGTGTGATGATTATGCTGTATCATACACATGTGGTCAAGTCAAATTAATTAATTAATTAAAAACGTAAATAATAATTATATATGTAAATGTAAATAAACGATTTAATTGTAGATTAATACTCCCGTTTGTACGTTAATATTCAAGGTTCCCAACAAAACTAAAGTAAACCATATATATATGATTGATGGAGAACATTCATGAAAGTTTGTCAATTTTCGAGGTTTACAATTGTTTAGTAAAAGCAACCTATCAATCATTTAATCACTACGTGAATTCATCGATATGAAATTCATCAATTACATTTTATCCATTACAGAATATTTCAAAGTGAAATATTATTCATTTGACCCTATTCACATACATTCACCAAGTTGATAATTAAACCCACGTGTATTTCACATTGAATCGCAGTGGTTATTATTATTATTATTATTATTATTATTATTATTATTATTATCACTGTTGTTTTCATTTTGGACTTGTTTACTTCTTTTTTACCTGATAGTTATTTGGAAAAATCATGTTTACAATTAAGAACAATGTGTAAATAATAATTATTACAACAGTTATATTATTAGTAATATTGATGATGATGTTGATAATTGAATGATATTTAAAATACCTTTTTACATAACAAATTATAGGACATGAAGTATCAAGGTTATCGAATTGATTGTCCATAGAAATATATATTTAAGAAAAATATTCGTTTAAAGAACAGAACCCATTAACATTGGGTTAAAACTGAAAAATTATCATCAGCTACAGAAGAATTGAAGTATAAATTAACTTGATATTACTAGATCAGTCTTCCACCTTTTTGATTGTCTAGTGAATTTTTACTAGTTGTTAGGTTTCTACACAAATTGATCTTAAATCTGAATACTACAACGAATGTTATTTTTGTGTGTTTACTTATTGTTAGTTCATCATTAAAGAGTTCATTAGTCAACGACATATAACATCTTCCTACTAAATCCTTTAAACTACGCACCGATTTAAAGAAATTAAGCACAAAAAATTTCAAGATGGTATTTACCAGGAATTTACTGGTCAAGTCCACTTTAGGGTAAATAAATTCATTGATAATTACATTTAACAAAATCCTAATGCACTAGTAAAGGCAAAGCATTACCAAGTTTTCTTAAATAGGTATTTTTATGAGCATCATAAATCAAGAAGTTGGTTAAATCAGGATTTTTACTAAATTATTTTTACCATAGGTGTGGTCAGTCGTCAGTCAGCTACAACGTAGGACCAGGCACATATATGCATCGGTCCAAGTTGCCTTGGTCGTGTAATTTTATAACCTTGTTAGGGTATCTGTGAGGCTTTTTGGGTAATGATCGAATTCTGAGTTATAAATTTACTATATTGAAGTACATGAATACCATAGTAGAATGAAAAACTAAGACTTCTATACAAACACCTTTTAGCACTTGGGTTAGATCTTATACAAGTGGAAATATTTGAACTGAACAGAGAAAACTAATAGTCAGAAGTCTGTTAGAAACCGAAGAAATAATCAAGGGTGAAGTTTTGTCCCATCTTCTACGGAATCATTCATTTACTCAGTGTTTAAAACAGAAACATTTGACTTTTAGTTAATTAATATTCATCATTTCTAAAAAAGAACTATCATTAACTTTCTGAGCATATATGAACACACATATTTCAATGAAGGATAAAATGTAACAATCACAAAACGATGATAAACATTCGAGTCAAAACTTGAATGTAATTTTACATACATAGAACTGTGATTAGTTAGAATTTTATATATTCTGATGAAATCGATGATTCATAGACCCAGAACTGAACACTCACAAGTTTAAAAATTATGCGACTCATTATTTTAGTAGAAAATACTTTAGAGCTTTCAACACTTCTATAAAATAAAACAGTTTAAATTCCGACAAAACTTATTCCACACAATAGCATCTCATTCATTAACATCATGTTCAGTCTATACTATATTCTATTATGTGAAACGTCAGTCTGTACTATAACTGTAAACTAATAATGAATCCTGTATGTTAAGAACTGGAGGTAGATTTAGTTTATTTTACCTCAACAAAACATACAATGATGATGTAATTTCTTTTAAATGAACATAGAGTAACTGTTCCAGTATACATACACTGAGTGATATACTGGGAAAAGAGAAGACGCCTTATGAAACTAATGGTTTATAACTATATTAGACAATATAATAGATCATTTGTGTTATTTTACACTTTCTCTTTCAGTTGGTTATCCTTAAGTGTTGGTTTCTTAATAACCTAATAAATCACTTGGATGTTTCTACTCCTAACATGTAAGATTATTTCTTCATACTTTAAGCAAATAACGAAAATTAAGTGAATGGTAAATTAGTCAAATCGACTGTAAATAAAAACTCAAACAATATTTCATTATGTCCCACTAGTAACACCTTTCATGTCATATGGTCATGTGACACCAATGTTATGAATACTATTGCTTCTTTATTTTTTATATTAATGCAAACTTGATTTATAAAAATGTATCACTTATACCTACCATAGATATTATTACGTAATCCATTACTAGTATAGCAAACTTTTTTTCAACGTATTAAAAGAGCATTAACATATAGAGTCGGAATATTTATGTTTTAAAAATGCCCAAAATAAAAACAAGTCAAAGTGATTATATACTGTTAGTGTGATTTTGTTTCAGTTCAATAACCAAAGTCCTCAGTATTATCATATGTATATTACTTTTGAGTGTATTTATGTAAGTGAATATTGAGAAAAAAAATACCCAAAATGAGATGAACGGAACAGAAGTCAAAGCAGACACCTGATCATTGAAGTTTTAATCCTATAATAAATTGATCATAACTCCAAACTACTCTTATAAATAAACATGATCGGGAAATAATTAAATTTCAGAATGATTTTGCTTCCACCTTAATCAATGCTTAATATTAGTGAACTAGCAAAGTAACTAAACTACTTCATTATTGGTTGGTGAAAACCTAATGGCATTGAATAAAGAAGCAAAAAAAACGTTTCTGAATAAATCAAATAACTGAAAGTGAATAAAATAAGCAATTCAAATTATGGAGTAATATTAATAATTGCTATTAATAGTTCTCACTTACCACGACCACTGCGACCAAGAAACCGTAGATCACTAAATCGTGCTTCATGTCCATGCATTATTGTAACTGGGTTTTTTAATTCAGCACATGGGCGTTCTTCATTTCCCGCTGTCACAGTCACACGTGTACCATCCGGTACTGGGATTAAACTGACTACACGAAACTGACTAGGTAATGATTTATTAGACCTCCAATGTTTAGGTAGTGGTGTACATAATAAGTGTGGGTTACTTGTCGGAGCTAAATCTGTGGTATGTTCACGTAGAGCACGTTTCAATGTGTATTCAGCCAGAAGAATATCTGACATCTTTCTTTATTTTGTTAAAATAAGTCTGTTAGTTCAAGTAATTTATCAGAATGTGAATAAACAAATACACTTTTTAATATCGGTGTTTCTTCCCAATAACTATGATAACTGCATGAGAAAGTGACGACAGAAATTTCAGTTGTTTAGACCGTCAATTGTGCTTAAATGATTTATCAATGTGCACACAGAGTACAGAATAAGTATGTCTTGTATCTGGTTCAATTATTAATCATAGGAACCGAATTGAAATTATGACAGGTGATTGTTTGGTTTGGTTATTTTATTGATGATAATGATGATGATGACGATTATGACTATGATAAATTGTCACACTGTGGCTTCTAGTTTTGCAGATAGTATATATATGCATGACATATTTTGAAGTGCGGAAATGATGGTTTTCAAATGCTACATGTACTTGTGTTTGTGTGTGTGAATAGCCCACTAATACATAATTTAACCACTCATTGGATAATGCTCTGAATATAATCTAATAATATTAGAAGTTATAAGAATCAGTGTTCGTGTGTAGGTGAGAAACGTAAACCACTCCACAATTATGCTTAGATAGTGAGATTAAAAAAGGACAGTCCGACTACAATCTGATTTGATAAGAAAGGGGTTTGTGGAGAGCATGGAATAAATTTTAACAAACTCAATTGTAATATTTTGTATACAAGCAGTTAATTGTTATTTCAGTATCTCTATGTTGGTTTCCGTGGCCGGTGTAATAGTATTTGTTGGTGTCACTAAATAGGTAACTAGGTGCCTGTTTGTGTTGATTGTTTGTTGGTTAGTTGTTTTTTCATTAACTTTAAGTACATACATGAAAAAACTAACTTGAAAATATCAAGGTGAGACAACAGATGCGGAAAGTGGTGATCTACTTAAATGATTGGTGAAAATTTCTAACCCCTCAAATTGTGGATAGACTGAAAAACAAAAATGAATACTACAGATTTTGGTTAGGGGAAAAATGGGCAGAATATCTGGCCACAAATAAAAGCAACATACATCAAATCAGACTTTGTTGGTTAGACCGTTATTTGTTTGTTTGACACGAAGTATGTGCGTAAGTGTATGCAAATGAAGTAAGGTATGAATATATTAAAACATATCAACATGAAATTAGTATAATAATATATTGATGAATATCATTTACCAGAGGAAGAAATAATGTAGATTATTATTCCGAATACTTTTTCTTCCCTACTTTATATTTGCAGTTATTTTATATGGTTACTAATGGATATATCAAATATGTGCTTGTGTGATTGAGTGAATAAATGGTTGTGTCCATTCAAATACTCAATCATGTGCTCCTACTGACTGGCTTCATGAGATATTTCGTGGGGTTCTAGTGAGAAGCCGTGGTCAGTAGAGTTCAACCGCGTCTGTTGTAGAGGCAGTTACTCACTGAAGACAATGGTGGACGGTCGCGAAATATCGTGGATTGGTTGTGATTAGACTTAAACACCATCGAATGCCGGCTCAGCGGTCTAAAGGTTAGGCGTTCGCCCGCGAGACCGAAGGTCCTGCGTCCGAGTCCCACTGCCGACGAGCCCATACTGGGACGAAAAGGCCATCCAGTGCTTTCAGGTTCTCCATAGTGGTCTAGTTTTAATGGACTCATAAATTCAACCATTAAAGATTAAAACAAATACGATTTACTTTAAAACGTTTCTCCTCTAAAATGAGTCGGATTTCAAATCATTACAAATAATTCAAATGTTTTCTCTGAAATTCGTCTACTATTAATTCTTCATAATTTTTTACCAAGTAACATCACGATAACCAAATCAGTGCAAATCATATAAATTAGTAATTATTTCACTGGGCTCACGTTATCATAAAACTGATTATCACCTTTGTTGTTGATTATTGATTACATGTGTGTATTCTGTACTAGATGTTTGACCTATTTTGCTAAATACTAATTAACTATTAATTAGTTCAAGACTTAAGTCATAAAACCAACTCCATTTAAAGAACAAACGAGTGATTACTGAGATTCTTGTATTTATCGACTCATCGAGTATAGTTTCCATTTGGTATATAACATTCATTATAAGGTGACAGAGTAACTCTTCAAAAATAAGTCGTTCAATATACTCAGATCTAATGAAGGATTATTTATGGTTTGAACAGCTCACCAGTAACAATTCTCACTGTTATACCTCACAACTTAATTCAGTTTGCGGTGGAAAATGAATTTCATCTGGGATTTCATGTACATGATCTTGATAGGTTCCTTATTCTTTATTTTCAACTACCTAACAGTGGAAACTTTCACTATATTGGTTTAGAATGAAACGTTCAAAGATCCTTCTACAGACATGACATTAAGCCATTCACTTATTTTTCTTGTATAGTCCTGTCACAGACGACTGATTGTTTCATCTCTTAGTTAAGATTACTAATCGCTATTTGTTGATCCAGATATTAGCATTACTCATTCCACAGGGAGTTTGTCAAAAGGTAAAATGAAGAATTCTTTTGACACCCTCTAACGAAAATAAAATATCACTGAGAAGCCCACGAATGATCTCATTTGTTCATCGATCTACATATAATGACAATAAATACTTGAGGTGTTTGACTCCGCCGACTTTTGAAACCAAACTAGAACTTTGACACGACCTATAGGCAAACATTAGGAGAAATGAAAATGTTAATGACATAAGTGGTGTGAAGAGTGACTGCGATTGTCCAGTTGTACTTGATACAGTATCAATCAAGGAATAATCGCTTATTATACAAACAAACATATTTTATACTTTAATTAGTGAAACCGTTTGTCAAGGAACTTGATCTGCAGACTGACATATTTCCAAAATATCATGAGTATAATGCATTCTGCTGAGAAAGTCGACAAATGATGCGTATTAAACAGTTGGATAACTTAGTTTTCTTAAAACTCTTATCTAACTCACAACAAAATATACGTACATCTTGAAAGTTATCAGGCAAGATAAGGAGAAAAGTACATTTGACCACCAATGGTCAATTAAAATGAAATAACGATTTGTAAATGTAATAAACTATGGCACAACTAAAGGCTGATTTCCTCAGTACTGTTTAGAAAGACAATGCAAAGCAGTTAACTTAACTCTGTCGACCAATAAACATTGCATTATAATCTAATATTTGAATAAGAACACTCAGTAGCTATGATAACTTGTGTAGCTGAGTTCGAATGCGTAAGAATTCTTATTAACTGGGAGCAAAACTAATTTTTTTTTCTGGAGGTTGGGGTGATTGGGAAGAAGTAATCTGTAAATGAAGAGTAACTGGTAGAATTTCCCTGGGGATGTCTTGGTAATTCTGTTAATATTGGTCCAATTAATTGTTATGATATATAATTTACTTGGAAAATTTTGATTGACACTGGAAATGCACAAAATAATATAGCGACTGTAATTCTTTAGTTAAGTCATCTGTAGTTGGCTAATTTGGAAAATTAATACATTCTGTTCAAATTTATGGAAAGTGAACTGAAAGATACCCCCAAAAAATATGTTCCCCTATTTTTTTTGAGATTTTCGTTTACTATTAATTAATCTAATGATACCTTTAGTCTAAAAATTAATTATTCAGTTTCCTTTTTGTTACGTAGTCATTTGTGTAAACTACACCTTACTATAAATTCATTTTTATAATATGAGGAAAACAAGTATGTTTTTCTCCGAACTTATGTACACTAAACATTAAAATAAGCTAAAAAAAAGAAAGAAAGAGCAATGGAAAAACATAATGGTAGAATTCAATAAACCTCATAAATTAATTATACAAAAAGAGATGTATTCATTTTCTGGTTTATATCGCTTTCCGAATTCCTAAACGGTTAAAATGTAAACGGAAATAAAAGACACTTGTATATTTAATTGATACAAATAAGAGAATATGGGAAAATTCGAACATTTGGTTGTGGTAGTAGTAGTAGTAGTAGTAGTAGTTCCGGAAATTGCTAGAAAATATTTTTCTACCACGTCACATTTGCATACATTTAATGTGGAATAAATGTCATCCACAATTGAAAGTACTAATATATCTCTATATCTTCTTCTTATTTAGCTCATTTTTGTATACACAAAAATATTTTAAAAATGAACTGAACCTGTCTCTCTCTATTTGTACGGATGTATCATTATGTTTTGAGGGTACACTACTAGAAACACATACAGTTGGATGCAAAATAAAAACAATAGAGAGAAATTTGCACTGCATATTTTTTCCTCACATGTCTTCTTTTCCTTCTTTTTTAAATTTTCAGTTAACAAGGAGACAAGAATTTCAATGACAAGCAAAATGCAACCAAAGATAAAGAATATAAATATTAGAAAAAAACACTTTAGAATAAATATGAATAAAATATGCTAATGACTTTTTCAAGGATATAAGAAAGCAAACAAATGAGTGTACGTGTGAGTAAATGAACTAGTATCACTTGTATATACATATAAATATCATAGATGGGATTTTGTTTTGCTCGGAAATGATACATACAACTGTAATCTTTCATTGTAATTTCTTATTGTTTATTTCATTTTTAGAACAACCGAAGTAAGTGAAACTGTAGTAATTTGTCTTTTACTTTAAAAATGAAAACACACTACTAAGTTTGATGAAGATATATTACTTGGGAAGGCTAATCATCCGTCAAATGACTTGATTGTTCATAGCTGTAATGACCCTTCAGATTAGTTTAAACACATATACATAAGAAGTATAGCACCTAAGCTAAGTATTATTAATCATGATAGAGAGAAATTATATATTAATTTACTATCTGTTTACAATAGTAGATCATATTTATGTAGTTTATGCGGGAGTTTAAATATAAAGAGGTTTAATGAGTCAAATTCTAGTGAGACCACTTTTTGAAAATAGTATGTAATAGTGTTACTTAGTAACTGATGCTTTATCAGGCTACCAGGTTTTCGAATAGTTTCATAGTACCTCAGTTTATTATTGATGAACAGCGTTTATAGTCATTACCC